GCGAGATTATCGCTCGCAAACACCTTTTTCTAATTTCCGTTTTAGCGCCGCAAACGGGAATTATCACATTTCTGTAATGTCGTTATCACGCTTAATAATTAATTGTTGCTGTTGCCGGATACGCGAATGTGTATGGCGCGTTGTGTTAACCTGGCCGAGTTCATGCAATTGCGGCCTGCGTGTAAATTATCCGTCGCTCATTTGCAAGACGATTTTGGCCAGATATTGCAGAATCAGAATCGTTATACTGGAGGAATCCGATGAAACTATGAAGCTCCTTTTTTCACAGATGTCCAGTATGGGCGGGTCCGAAAGTTACAACAACAAACAATACAAAGACACACGATAGGAGGTGCAAAGTAGAGGAGAGATCAGCAAAGCACGACAAATCAACTGTGTTTGACTTTACCGTGTAAAGTCCACCGACCTATTATTATTAGCTTATTTTTCAAGAAGAAAAAAAGAATTGTGTGCTTAGCCTGTGGGAAAATCACCAAAGATTCACCCGCTTTTGTCAGATCTCGCAAGCTAAGCAGCTTCGAGCCTGCTTAGTGCTTGGGGAGGGCGACCACCAGGGTTTTTTTAGGGCTGCTGTGGAGTTCAGAGTCCGAATATTTGTGTCTCCTGGAAAAATCCGATAAGCGACGAAACTCTTTTTTCCCAGATGTCCAGTCACATCGTGGGCAGGCAGAAGGCTGTTCAGTAAACAAATAAAACACTCTGTTGTACTGTACTATGTAAGCGTGCAACCAGGTCTATGTCCACGGCCCTCACCGACCCGCGTGGCGAAGTATGGCCACATAACCCCCCACGATCTGCACGGCGTGGGGAGGAGGCCCGGGGGTGTCCAAGCAGTGGACTGGCAAAAGTTAAACAAATTTATTAAATTTACCCCGTCACAATGGACCTTAAGATTCACTTTCAGGATCCATCTGCATTTAAGCGCTGCACGTTAGACCGATCGCTGCGTCTTACGTCTTTACAAGGCAAGTGATGTATCTATAAAAAGGAAAGTAATGTATCTATTTTAAAAAAAAACTATTTAAACATGTTTTTATATTAGTAGGTAAGGCCCACTGAGCGATACAGCACATTTTCAGAAGCGACCTGGCCACAATTGATAGCTCAGTAAAGTGGATTATCGCGTGGTAATTTATAGCAGCCAAATACTCGACACGCGTGTTCATTCTAAATGTGGACGGAAAAACCGGAGGACCCGGAGAAAAATCCACGCGAGCACCGGGAGAGACACGCAAACTCAAAATATACTGCAGGCGGCAGGCTCGGCATCGAACCCACGACCTCCTCCTGTACCAGGCGAGGTAGTTAAGCATGCAACACGCATGATCACTCTGCATGAAGCTGCAGAGTGATCATTGGGGTTTGAGTGGCAGTGTGAAGTGCGAACGTCTTTTGCTGGCAATGTAGTATGTTGAACTTCTTTCGCACCGTACGTAGCCAACCGTTCTAATTGGAGGCGCGCCTTGGTCCGAGTGAGGTCACGCCGTCATCGTCTGCAGTGCCAAGTACCCTCGGCCCTCCACCCAGTCTGGTCGGTGGGCAACCTTCATCCTCCACACGAGTCTATCCGTCAAAGTCTGCACATGTCCGTTCTTTACACTTTGGGCTATCCTGGATGCCCCCATTTTGGCCTCGTTAGCCACTTCATGACCCACGTCTGCGTTCAATGCGAACACGGCTCAATAGAGCCTATTCGCGGCTCCGTATGCCCGTTCCACCGTCTCCCAGAGCTTCTGTATCTTTGTGTCCCAGTGTTTCTTAATCGGTGTCACCAAGCATCTGTTTCCCTTGTCCCAGTGTGCCCGTGGCCCTGTGTCCCTGCGTCCCAGTATCATCCCCATGTATCTATGTCCCAGTGTGCCCGTGTCTCTATGTCCCCGTGTCTCCGTGTCCCAATGTGCCCATGTCTTAGTGTCCCAGTGTCTCTGCATCCCCGTGTCCCAGTATCCCCATGTCTCAGCGTCCCAGTGTCTCCGTGTCCCAGTGTCCCCGTGTCTTTGTATATCCGTGTCCCAGCATCCCAGTGTATCTGTGTCTCTATGTCCCCGTGTCCCAGTGTGCCCATGTCTTTGTGTCCCAGTGTCACCGTGTCTCTGTATACCCGTGCCACGGTATCCCAGTGTCTCCGTGTCTCCGTGTGTCTCCCCCCGTGGCTCTGTGTGTCCCTTGTCCGGTGTAAATACGGCTCAGTGGATCCAGCGCACGGCGAGGCTCTTGATCGAAACTTGGTTGACGGATGTGGGGGTCACTGGTGACAAATTGGTTCGTAAGTATTGCCGAGGCCCGATCTGCTGTTGTGCAGAATGGGTGTCGTGGAATATCAGACCACGGCAGGTGCGGCGATGTCAATCTCACTGTAAAACGAAAAGCGATCAAATCTGATATGGCCATCCGTGCGTGCAGTGTGAAGAATAAGAAGCAGCAGCATCAGGCTGTGTGTGGGCGGGACACACCACCCGACCGAACCCTTAACCCTACCCATAACCATAACGAGCTTGGTCAGCTCGTCACTAGAGGACGAAGTCTTCCCACGATCGAGCACTTTGCCCCGATGCCTGACGCCGCGTCGGACACTTCGGCAGGGAGCCCGTGGGATGCGCTCCCCGTCCCGTTGCATTGTTCACGGCAACATCAACATCCACACATGAAGCCCCTCAACCCCCCCCCGCCTCCCCGGTCCCCAGCCAACACGGGCCCATGGCTACATCGCCTGGAATGTGGCTGATCTCGTTATATCTCGGGGGCTAAGCAGGCGTGAGCCTGGATAGTGTCTGGATGGGCGCTTGCGCTGCGCCCGAAACCGGTGATTATAGTTTGCAGCGAGGCTACGTTGTGGACAGCAGAAGAAAGTTCAAGAATATCCACTGTTGTACTGTACTCCTATGCCCCCCCCCACCCCCCCCCCCCCCCCCGTATATTGCTCCTCGCCTTCACACACTACGCACTGGATAATCGTTAACACAGCGGACCCTCATCCAGCAGTGGAATGACAGTAGGGCCGCACACGTCCCCGTGTGTGAATACTAAAGGCAAGGCGATTGTAAGAGGACCCCGCTTAGAGGAAATGTGACAACAGCGCATCGCCAACGTGACCTCCCGCTCCCACAGCCAAGCGCTCAGTCACCGGGTGTCACCGATGATGGGTGTCGATGCTTGGGTATCGTCTCTCGATCCCCATGTCCCCAAGAAAATGAATTAAGTGATTAAATAGCGACACGGCGTCGTGGCCGCCTTGAGAGAATGCGGATTAAGCTGAAATAAAATACGACGAGGATGCCGGAGGTTTGGTAGACATCGATCTTCGGTTTTATAACAAACAACAATAACAACCCGTGGCACGCAAACATCACCGCGCCTTATCACACGAGAAGGATGTTCGTGATAGACGCAGTTTGTTTTGAGAGCGCCGTGACGGGGGTGGGGGGGTACAAACATAGACGTGCAAAGTCCTTCTGTGGACAATCCAAGGTCGTAATTATAATATATTGGAGGGGGGGGCATCCCCCCTAATATTCAAATATGCTCAAAATACCCGCTCCCCCAATATATTGCTATACAATAGATTTCTGTTTATATGATTGTGGTTATGGTTGTACTTTATTAATCCCTCATCTCTGCCATTACACACAATGAAACAAGAAAAGGTCAAAAAGAACAAACAGAGCAATGTAATACAATACACGAATAGACATTATTGTAAAACATAAATAAAAAGTCCATCCCATGTGTGAGTGAATTTTTTAATATTTTAGGCAGGAAATTCGTTTTCAAATTTATATTTTTTTCTGGGGGGGATCCCCCAGACCCCCTGGAAGATTTGGTCCCCCCCCCCAATGTTGACTCCATGGCTACGGCCTTGGTACAATCCACTGCTGCATGAGGGCCTCCCGTACGGCGTGCGGGGCGGGGAGGGTGATGGTCATACCTCACCCCGCTCGTCCATGCGAGTTGAAGATGGAGCGTCGAGGATGAGTGAATTGTTTGAAATTGCGTTCCGCATGTCGATAAGGAATTGCGTTTTACGCAGGCACGCGCCGTTGAGTTTTAGACCCTGGTAAAATATTTAATTAAAACGGATACGTTTTTTAAAGGGCAGGTGAATTATACTACGACATTCAGCAGTCATTCGTTCAACTTGATAATAACTTCTGTTGTCGATATCCCGTGCTCAGAAATTCTCGTTTTTGTATTCATTCATATTTTTGTTGCATGTAGGAAAGGAAATGCCAGCATGTTCTTTTCTCGGAATACGAATCGTAAATTCGCACACGCGTGAACGCACAAAAGCACGCAATACGAAACAGACGATGGCGCGTACGCTTGGACTCCCACTGAGAGAGCGAAAGATGAATACGTGGATAAGATAACATACAAACTCGTCAGAAAGTAAGCGAGCCTGGGCATCGAGCAGGACACGTCGCTCGAACAGATGATGGACGATGGTCTAGAATGACGACAGAGTGGCAGCGAGTGGCAGCGACGCGTTCGTCCACCGGTGCGGATGGATGCCGTGAAATCAACTCGGTGAATTGGTGCGTCGGAGGATCGTCTTGGCGAGTACTTCATCCAGCAATGGATTAACCATGACTGACGACGATTATAATGAGCGTATGTACGTGTTAAAAAAATATCTCCGCTTCCCACTATTTTCCCTTAAACAAACACGCACACCGAGCCAGAACTCCCCCACGTGGCTGGCAAGCTGCAATTAACCCTGGCGGACCGCGTGCTCTCACAGCAAGGCACCGCCTCCCCGCTATCACAACTGGACACAGCCCCCCTCCCCTCCTCCACCTTACACCACCCGTCATTAATCCAACATCGCCACCACTCGCAAAAAAAATCAGCAGCAGCCAGCCATCCACCCACCCACCCTTTCCCCCTCCGTATCGCTCCCTCGACTCGCCCACGCCAATCTGATTGGCTGTGACGCACTGAATAGATGGAACTCTTCCGTGCGGGTCCGGGCAGCCCTGGAGGGGGGCTCACACGCGCACACGCCCCGTCGCGGGAGAGACCAGAGCGCACTCCCCGTCATCATCGTCGCCCAGAGCCGCGTGCGCTGCCGCACGACTCGCATCGCGCGCGTGAGCAGAGTTCGATGTCGAGACACCAACTTGCGATGAAGCGCACCTGGGACTGAAGTTTTTGTTGTTTTTGTTGCTCGAGCGAGTTAGTGTTTGTGTTGCATATCCGTCTTCTACGACTGCTCTACGATTTACTCGACGAATGTATTGAAATTTCAAACGAATCATATCGGACTATTACTACTGCCTGCTGCCGATCCTACTGCAGTTGTCGCTGCTGCTGCTGCTGCGTCCACCACCACCACAACGTCCAGGTGTAACCACCCTGACCTCGTTATCAGCGAGGTGACCGCGGTGATCACATGCCGCTGCCGGGAACACAGCTAAGGTGGGGTCGCTTTTCGAGTTTTGTAGCGGCGCGTTCTTTCTCACGCACTTACTCTCTCATGTGCCCACACACACGCCCAGTAGCCCACGAACCCATGCACGCTCACACACATGCGCACCCACTTATCATACACTCACCCACGTACGCACTTATACGTGCATATATACATGCACGCAGTCGCCCACTTACCGACGTGCCTACTTACCCACGCGCTCACTAAGCACGCGCGGCCACTCGCACGAACTCACTAACTGACTTACCTACTTATCCACTCGCACGCACTCGCACACGCACACACTCACCCACTAGTCCACGCACACACCCACTCACACACTCAACCACTTCTACCACTCACACACTCGCCCACTCACACACGCACATACGAACCCACTAGTCCACGCACACACCCACTCACACACTCAACCACTTCTACCACTCACACACCCACTCACACACGCACATACGAACCCACTAGTCCACGCACACACCCACTCACACACTCAACCACTTCACCCACTCACACGCACCCACGCACACGCACCCACTCCAAGATGGACCCACTAGTCCACGCACACAACCACTCGCACACGCACACACTCACCCACTAGTCCACGCGCACACTCACCCACTCACACACTCACCCACTCGCACACTCACCCACTCACACACGCCCCCACTCGCACACGCCCCCACTCGCACACTCACCCACTCGCACACGCACCCACTCGCACACGAACCCAATAGTCCACGCACCCACTCGCACACTCACCCACTCGCACACTCACCCACTCACACACTCACCCACTCACCCACTTACACACGAACCCAATAGTCCACGCACACACTCACACACGCACACACTCACACACGCACACACTCACACACGCACACACTCACACACGCACACACGAACCCACTCACACACTCACCCACTTACACACGAACCTAATAGTCCACGCACACACTCACACACGCACCCACTCACACACGCACCCACTCACACACGACGTACCTCCGATTAGCACCGTTGGCTGCGTACGGCGCGAACGAAGTTCAACATACATACGCGGACGCACTCGCGCACGACAGATCGACATTAATCGCCACAAATGCGCAAAAAGCTCCTGTCGGATCTCGAGGGCTCCAACAGCGTTGTGCCTCGTTGTTGATGAAAAGGGTGGCCACAAACTGCTATTGGTTGGAGCTTCGAGGTGACCAGGAGGTGGCAGCGCTGAGTGTCACCTTCTTAGATACAGCGCGATGGGTTTTCTCCGGATTCATCATGTTTTTGTTTCTGACTTCCTCGCACACGAAGCCAAATTATCGTGAATGGAACTGACCACGCATCTCCACGTAGCCGCGGAACCCGACTGAAAGTGTCGACGATTTTCGGATACGGTTGAGGCTTTTCTGCGTAAAATAATCGGCATTAGTATTCGTATTATTTGCAATGTTTTCGGCTTGGCGAAAACCAGCAGCGCTTGCAGGCAACATTTGTGTTGATGGCATGTGAGCAAAGTTGCACAAGGCGCGCCGCAAATGGACTTTTATCTCGGTTTATCTGTCACGAAAAAGGGCAAAGTGCGCATTTTCAGACAAACAGCCAGGGAACTCAGCCCATCTCTGCGTTGCAGGCCATTGTGTTGTTGTAAGGACAACGCCTCCGATTAGCACAGTTGGTTACTTACGGTACGAACGAAGTTCAGCATGCACGCTGTACATACATACGAATTCAACGCGTCCCAAAGGACATCCACCGAGAATGTGCGTGTGCGGGTGCCAAGTGGATTATCAAATCGTGGATTCGGGGGAATCCTTCACTCAGCATTGGAATGCCCGTGGCTGATGATGACGATGAGGTACAGTTGAACACGTGCGAGGAGCTCATGCTATGACAACGTCTTGACCCCACGTGTGTGTGTGTGTGTTTACAGCACCACACATGTGTGCGCCGTATGGCACATCGGGTACGATGCGTTTAACCGCTGCTGTGCATTAAGAGGCGGCGCAGTGAACAATTCCACGAATCATTTGGAGCGATATCCGGACAAACGCGACGTTACAAACGACAGCGCCGCCGACAATGGCGAAACGCCACAATACACGCACACACACACACGCAAAGATAAAAAAAATCCCCCGTATAGCCTTAACAGACTGTAGGGGCAAGTGCTGTTAGAGAGCACCTATGGAGGCCGGAACGGTACACGAACGAGGGGGTGGGTGGCCAGCACCACGCCCGACCGCCTTTTACACACCTCACCAGGTACTCATTTAAGGCTCAGTCGACCTAGGGGATGCCCGGGACCGGTTCAGATAATCGTCACTGGTGTTGGCCGTGAGCGGGAATCGAACCTGGGTCGCCAGGTTCATAGCGCAGCGCGCTAACCGCTACACTACCGCTCACACACACACACGCACAGACACGCGCACACACGCACACAGACACACACGCACACAGACACGCGCACACACACGCACACAGACACACACAGACACACACACACGCACAAGCCACCCAAAAATCGCAGGTCGAGTGGTGACTTCCCAAATCGCGCGACGGAGAAGTTAGCAACTTGTCCACAAACAAGTCGCCTGTTGATCCACGGCGAACATTTCCTAACAACCGCGCAGTTCGCAAATTAAGCGGCCGTCTCCGTAACGCACGTCCTGTCCAAATGTTATTTGTAGGCGAGAACACTCGCGGCCACGTGCGCAGTTCATGAGCTACGGACGCTTCCGCGCTGCTGTCGGGCAAATGCCACTCGACGTAGCCGCGCTTGTTTGCGGGGTTTCTACGCAGTCGCGCACGCGCGCGCTATTTACATCCAACGGGTAAATGTATCTCGGCCGTTATGAAAGCGCGTTTCTTCGTTTGGTTTTTTTTATCAGCGGGAAATCATCAGGGGGGCCATCGGCACCGCTTATCGTGGCTGGCACGCGTGCCCCGTTGTGAAACCCCCGCGCTGCGCTCTTCGCTTGCCGACACTTTGGATTCAACTCCGACGGCTTTTTCGGAGGGTTGTAGCCGCGCGTCGCAATCGAACTCGGCAACGATTGTCCGACGTTTCGCCGCGCGTGCTGGGGGGGGGGGGTTGCGAACGCGGAGGGGAACGATAGCAGCCGAGCCGCGCAAAGCGAGGCAAGCGTGGAGTGTCCCTCACTTGAGTTGGCGTCCGGGTGTCCAACTGGAGCAATCATTGTTTTGGCCAATGCATAAACGCTGTTAACCCACCGCCGTTTTCGCATCGATTCCCGATCGCTGGAACGCATCGATATTTACCGATCTTTTGACAGTTCGTTTTGGTGGGGGAGCGGGCGGGCGGGCGAGCGAGCGGGGGAGGGGGGTGCTTCTATAAATGAATTAGTCTATTTACTGAAAATGTAGTAAGCCTTAGGCGCACAGTGCTCTTCTCGACTGAGCACTCTGGGGAGCAAGGCGAGCGCCCCCCCCCCCCCCCCCGCAGTAGATAAGCACAGCGGGTCTGCATAGACCCCTAAACGGCGTCTCTCGCCCCCCCCCCCCCTTCTTCCCCGTTGTCTCAATGCGGCCGCGTGCGTTGTAATTGCTGGGTTGTCCTTCACCTCTCGCGGTGCGCCTGATGTGGGTTTAATTTCCCAGGGGAGGGCAACCGAGAAGGGGTGGCTAAAGCGCCGCCTTTTGTCGCCGTACACACGGGACCGGAGTGCGTGTGTGTGTGACACGGTGTGTGTGTGTGTGCTTCTGTGTGTGACACGGTGTGTGTGTGTGCTTCTGTGTGTGTATGTTTCTGTGTGTGTGTTTGTGTGTGTGTGTGACACGGTATGTGTGTGTGCTTCTGTGTGTGTGTGCTTCTGTGTGTGTGACACGGTATGTGTGTGACACGGTGTGTGTGTGTGACACGGTGTGTGTGGGAGCGGTAGTGTAACGTTTCCGCTCAAGACCAATACCAGTGGCGGTTATCTGAACCGGTCCTGGGCCTCCCCGAGGTCGACTCAGCCTCAAATTGGTACCTGGTGTGGTGTGTAAACATTAGCAATGGGGATACATGTGCCGTGTTGGTCTTCAACGGTACTCGCCAAGAGCACTTGTTCCCAAGAGTCTGTTTAGGCTACACCGGGGAGTCTTTATGTGGTGTGCTGCTGTAGTTCGTGTGACAAACGTCCGAATATCGGCAATGGGGAACACAAAGGCGGCCGGGCGTGGTGTGGGTCACGCCACCGATTCGTTTCAAGTGTCGTGCCTACCTTAATAGGTGCTTGCTAACAGCAGTACTTAACACCGGCCTGCTAACGTCGGTGGCGCTCCCCACGGAAGCCTTTGTTAACGGACGAGTGTTTGTGTTCATCGCGTTATGTACGTTGAACTTCTTTAGCACCGTACGTAGCCAGACGTGCTCATCGTCGGTGCCTGCTGGGGGTGCCGTGGCACAGTGGTTAGCGCCCTGCGCTGCCAACCCCGGGCACCTCGATTCGATTTCCCGGCCACGGCTGACATCGGTAGCGAGTGACATTTGACCTGGAACCTTGGCGCACTTCGCTGGAGGATCGGCCTTCGATTAGCACCCGACTGCGGAGAGACAAAGGCGGCCGGGCGCGATGCTGACCACATTCACACGCTCGTGCGCTGAACCAGCCTCAATAGCTGCTTGCCAACAAAACTTGGCCCCAACAATATTATAAATGCCGCTACGGGGTGGTGGGGGGGGGGGATATTCGTCTTTGTATTTATATGCACAAAGTAACTTTTAGCGGGATGCGACCTCTTTCTATCGGCTTTACAGTCACACTCCAGGGAGGGAAGTATAACTTGGTTAAATGACGGGGATGGTAAATTTAAAGTGGTGAGAACGCCAGATCTGAGTGAATTTGGAACTTCAGAATGACCCTGCCCTATGGGCATGAACCGAGCAGTGTGCGCGCGGGTCCAAATGCAAAACCTTCGGTCTTCTGAATGTTCAAGTCGTGTGCATGTTGAACTTCTTTCGCACCGCACGCAACCAACCATGACAATCGGATGC